TTGCTCCGTCCACTCCACGCATCGACCTGGTATTGCAGTACTTCCAGGAACGGTGCACCCCTCTCTGGGGAAACAAGAAGGTATTCAAAAGAAAGTTGTCTTTTTTTTATGTATTAGCCCTTACTGTATTTCTGCGTCTAGTTTCTTTACGGTGTGTAGTAAGGGGGCATATCTCAGTCCGACGGGTACTGTTCCAACCTTTGTAAGGTGTGGTGTTTTTCTTTTTTTTTGCGCGTTATTTCGCTGGAAGGACTGCTTAGGTTTTTCTTGCAGTGAGTTGTGAAGCTGGGTCGTGGGTTTATTTGGCTCAAGGAATTCCAACCCCTCCATCTCCCGTGCGCGCAAAGATCCGAGTTCTACTTTCTGGTACCGAAGGAAAAAAGAAAGGGCGGAGTTGTTACGTGGTTAATAACGCTCGCTGTTTTCGAGAAGCAGGTGGTCGTCGGTGTGTAGAAAATGAGTGAGGGGTACGGGATGGTCTGTGTTATATAAACTAGGGTTTTCTTCTTGGTTCGAGAAGTCATCGCTGGGTAGCTGCGCAGCTGCGCGGGAATGAGGTGGTGCAGAGATGCCAGCGTGGCTAGTGTGTGAGAATCATAATCCCGGCCCGCTGTGCCAGGTCACTCTCTATAGCAGGTGGCGTTTTGGTTTCTTTTGAAGAATCTTTTAAAAAGAGAACTAACTCGTATTCCATAGTTTCATTTATTCCTGGGTCCACTGTCAAAAGTACCTTTTGTGGCTGGAATCAAGTCTTTGACGGGAGAGTAGTGAATTCTCATGAGGTGGGTGGGTGTGTGTCTGAGAAGGTCCTACTGCCGGATCAAAGCGTCTCCTGACCTCTGCCGCTTCTCCGTGCACGGAAGGATTTATGGCAGGCCTTCTTCCGGTGGGCTTTTTCGTGGGCTCCTGTCTGTGAGTATGCTGCTGAATATTGCCATCTGCTTGCTATGTGTTAGAATACTGCACAGAGCATGAACATTTTGTATTAACCCACCCAGAAAAGATGGAGAACCCTTTTACAATCTGAAGGAAATGATTCATATTGTAAGGTATTTCGTTACTACGTCTTTGTAGTACGTAAGGATCACATTTATGATGGGGACTCAGTACATGTACATAAGACATCTTAATTCTTTTTCTGTCCCCTTCACCTCTCCTCCTCCTGACCCCCACCCCCACCCCACCATCTCTTGCACCCCTTCCCATTTGCAGACTTCTCCTAAAGGGGAAACCATGTTATATTTAAGCTTGTGTGTCCGATCCTTTTTCCTCCAGATGACTCGAGCTCATCCTTCGGTGTGGCAGAGTAGTACTCCGTTGCGTATGAATAGATACGGTACCGATTTTCTTTACCCATTCATGCATCCGTGAACGTATTGGCCACTTTCAACATTTAGCTAGTATGAGTAAAGTGTTCCAATGTAAAATGGCTTCTGCTGTCTCTAACAGCCGTTTGCTTTGTTTAGTTTAGAGCTAATAGGCACGGAAGGCACTAACTGCTGAACGAGGCATTTGGTCTTGCTGACCGGGCGCAGCAAGACCTTGCGCTCCGAAGAAAGAGACTGGAGCCATACGATTGTAAAGGTGTCGAGATGAAAGAACCCATTGCTAACATTTGCTCCCCTGACCCTGGACACCCCCTTCCTATGGACTCTTAATAAATAGGCGAATCTGAAAGGTAAACTCCCCGCAGGAATTATATCTGGGCCGAAAGATTAACTATTTCGTGACCGCGATTGGAACTGTGAGAATAGAACGTGACCACCCAAATGAAGTCAAGGCTGTGAAACCCTATAAAAAGAGGAGGTGTAACCCAGTGCATCGTCCATCCGGGCTCGGCTTATGTGCGATGCGCGCGCGCGCACACACACACACACACACACACACACA